GCGTGCTTTGAGCACAACGATGCCTTGCGCGCTTGCGCGCAGGCGCGTGTTGTTCGCCACTGTGACGTAAGTGACTGTGGGGGTGGGGATGGCGTTGGATATGTAACGCTCGGAGCCTACCATATGCTGGCCGCAGCAGCTGTCCAAGTACCAGGTGTTGTAGCGCTTGTTGTCGTCACGTGCGAGCAGCGCCAGTCGCGGCGTGACGATGTGCGGAGTGTCGAACTTCAGAAATTGCTCGCGCGAGAGCCAATCAAGTGGCGCCACCCGCATGTCAGGTACGTGCGGGGGACTCTCAAGCAGCGGGACTGGGAGATTCCAGTCCTGGTCGTCGTCGTCGGTGAAGTCGTGGCGCGGACTGAATGGGTTGTTGTTAGAGAACGCGCCAATGGGATGCGGTGCTGGCTCAGGTGATGGTGAGCGCGCGCGGCGACGACGTGACTTGCCTGTCATGGCCATGTTGCTCATGACATTGCGTACTGTGGCAGTCGGTGGCGGCTGCTGCTGCTGATGCTGAACCGCGGGGTTCAGGTTGCGCGCGGGTGGGGGTTGATACCCCTGGGCTGGACGCACGTCGCCTCGTGCGTCTTGTCGGCCGGACCAGGTGCTCGGATTGGTCTGGCGAGGGCGAGATCGGTATTTGCATCGATCCGCCAGGTGCCCGAAAGTCCTGCAAATTTTGCAGTAGAGGCGCTTCGGGCGTCACTCTTCGTTGTTGTCGGCGTAGAAGGCGATCCGTTCTCTTTCTCGTCGCGGCGCTGGTCGCTGCTGGTCCATATCCCTTTGTTCGACGAGAAGGGCGGCGCAGAGGGCGGCCTCCGAGATGACCCCCTGCTGTCGGAGAAGCGCCTTGCAGGGCCGCCACTCTGGGCCGAGCCCTTGAAGCACGATGTTCACGAAGATTTCTTCGGAAATCGAACTCCCTAGCTTCACGATTTGATCGCGAAGGCTCCGACAGTGACTGATGTAGCTTTTGACCTTCTCCCCTGGGGCCATCTTGGTCTCCAGTAGCTGCTGAAGCAGTCGGCTCGAAGAGACGGAGTCTTTCGGCTGGTACACGCCGTTCAGGTGGCGCCAGGCGTCGAGGGCTGGAGCAGCCGATGTCTTGTACGAACGGATGTTCAGCTGCTCCGCCGGCGACATATTGCGCAGGAGAATCCCGTACGCCATCAGGGACTCGTTGTAGTAGCGAGTCCTGGCGTCGTCGGTGTCCTCAGCGGGTTCCGCGTAGCTCCCGTCGAAATAGTGATAGATTTGGGCGTTCTGCAGCAGGAGCTCCAATTCGAAGCTCCAGGTATAGAAATCTCTGCCGTCAAAGCAGGTACTTGTCTTTATTTTTGATATGCTGAGAAACTTTGATTGTGCTGAGAGGATTGCCTCCTCACTGGGACGGGGAGCTTTGGGGGTTGAGCCATTTGTGTCGAGGGAGAAGGTTTGCGGGACGGCGTTCTGCCCAGTTGGGGCCGGTTGAGATGGTTGCGAGGATGTTCCCGCATCGCCGTTCCGCAATGTTTGGAGCCCCTGCTCCAGGCTGGTGAGTCGCTGAAGAAGTTGTGCGAGGACTTCGGTGCCGATCGTAGTCGTTTCCTCGCTTGTCGCAGCCGGATTGGTGCGCGCTTCAGCCGTCAGATTAGTCTGACCACCAGATCCTCCGGCCATTCTCACACGCGAGCGTGTGCCGGTCGCCACTTTCCGAATGTCGCAATTTTCGGGAGTGGTGTTGCGAAGGATTCCCGAGCCGCTCTCATACCATGCTACGATCAGAGAATGATCGCTTACCAGGATCTACTCGGGAAGGTTCGCACGTGGGTAGATAGTTGGTGGGCCCTTGATCTCAATAGCAGAGTGAATGTAAAATGCTTGAGATGATAAAAACATGCAAATACAACGATATAAATAAGAGTACAGGGGAATACGAAGCGACCTAACTAGCCATGTACTCTAAGGGGTACATTCCCTTATTCAAATACATTCCCAACCGTGCGGCGCGTACAGTTATGAAACTGTTCCCGCCGAAACCATCCTGCCTGCAGCTGCCCGATGCCGTCTGCTCCGACGGTCCAGATGCGCCCCAACCGTCTGTTGCTTCGAGTCAATCTCCAACCGTCTGACGGTTCGCGTTCTTGCTTCGATACTGCGTGCTTCTCTTTGCTGCGGTGAGGAGTGCTCAGTAACAATGAAATATTATTATTCGTAACACATGGTAGTGAATTGGTGCTCCTGCTTTGAGGGAACGTAGTATTAGGTGTGCATTGGAACATTCACGACAGTTCAACCTCCATAAAAAGATGTTGCTTGCACTTTGGGATACACAAGTAATCACCCCCCTGCTTTGCAGGCCCAACACTTAGGGGGTGTTACATTGCGCGCTAGTCCATTCACAAGGAAATGGACCAGCTAATGCAAGGGAGTACACCTGGGCTCCAATAATTTCATTCCCCCTAATTGCAAGGCCCCTGTCGTCATCTGTGGCTCCTGGTTGAGAGCGGTTCGGTCCTCCCAACAACCCTCCGATACCTTTAACCGAATAAAACCGCTTTCGCTCCGTTCAGAAGAGTCCGAAACCCCGAAATCTTTCGTGAGAGTGTTGAAATTAGAGGGAACTTTTTTGTTCCCCCCAATTTCAACCCCAGGGCAAAACGACAAGGACGCGGCTCGGTGCCCACATTCCGAAATTACCGGAGCCCAGGTGTACCACTTCCAAAAGTGATACCCACCTGGTACCCGCCTGGTACTGGGGACCATTTGCGGCGGACCAGCTATGCACGGTGCATGCAGCTTCGAAGACGAAATGTTAACGAAATTACAAGCGTATCTGGTCACGCCTGAACGAAATGTCGCAACTGGCAGATATTTTTGGCGAAATAAATATAGTGCTGTGTTCGCATGTGATTCTCATCGCCTTGGGTCGCTCTGGAAATGGTCCTCTATGTGGAGCGTCATTTTCGTACGTGCGGCTCGCACTGTACACGCTGGTCCGTGGGCAGGTGTAAGTCAGGTCCACACCTGGTCCGTGGCTGGTCCACGCCAGATCGCGCGGGATTGGCCTGATCCGCTGCGGACCAGCTGTAAAGTGCGCAAATGTAACCCCCCTTAGACCGTAAAGCATGGGGTAATTCTCTACAGCATAGAGCCGCGATACAGTAATTTTAAATAGAGTTCTCAGCAATAGTACACCCGTCTCTCCACAAGCATTTTTCTATTCCGTCCTATAGACCTCATTCGAGCATGTGAGTTGGCTTGGCACTACACCATTCCTGGATGTATCACCCTCAACCACAGCCGTCGTATGCGGCGCTTATTGCGCCAAAGGCGATTTGGTCAAGAGCAGATCTCCATCAAATCGCTTTCCTTGTTGCGCCTAGATCTATCGCGTAGCTTCTCCGCGTGCGCGGCTCCGTGTTCCGCCCACCCGCTCCGCGCATCCGTGCTTCCACCAGCTGCCCATTGCCCCTCTGCGCTTCCCCGGATGCTTCCGCAAGGGCATCCGCCCCGCGCCCTTGCGCAGGGCTCTGCGTACCAGTCCGCAGTGCACGTCTCGCCGCCGGCTCGTTCGTATTTCTCGCCAACCTCCGTTATATTCACCAACCCCGCGATTTCAAGAGTAGCACTCCCGTTAACGGTTTCGCTGCAGTCAAGCCAACTCGCTGGTCAGATTCGAAGCGGCCTAAGAGTGCCCAGATTGAGACCGAGTAATTTAGACCACAACGATTTAAGATTCAGCACCATATTTAGGCCAGATGGTCTTAGTCTAAACGGCCTTAGCCAAACCAGTCTCAGGCAAGGCGGTTCAGGGTTTCGGGTTTTGTGTGCCAGCTGGCAGAATGGGCCGTTACAGAGAGGCAGATCCTATGGGCGTCAACGTTTGTCGGACGCGGCTGGTGTCGCGGACGCGTCGGAAAGCGCTGACGTGGATCCTTTTTTTGCTAAGCGACAGGAGGTTTGGAAACAATGGGTGGGGAAGAGCAGTCCGATTAGCAAGAGGGAACCCGCAGGGTCGGACGATGCCGAAGCTCCTCGTCAGGCTCGTTCGAATGCCGAACCTCGGAAGCAGGCTCGGGACAGGCCTGGTAGCCAGGATGTTTGGAACGGTGGTCGATCCAACCAATGGCAGCGAGGAGGCCGAGACGAACAAGCGACACGTGACGTATCCTCGAGAGACTCGAAATCCTCGCGGCGAGACTCGTCCTCGTTAACAGGTGCTTCGTTACAAGCTCCGTGGGAGTCTGCAGCCCCGCGAAGGGGACCTAGAGGTCAGGAGGAGGAGGGCAGCAGGGGGAGTACCCGGGGAGGCGGCAGAGACGGAGGAGAGAGAAGGGGACGTGGGGACGAAAGGGGGGCGGAGCGAGGCAGATACGCGGCTTATGGGGATGTGAGGCAGCGAGGCAGTTACGCGGAGGGGAGAGAGAGCGGTTATGGGGACGACAGTGGGGGGGAGCGAGGCGCGTATGAGGCGTATGGGAATGTGATGGGGCGAGGTAGGTACGGGGAACGAAGAGAGCGCGGGAACAGTGGCGACAGTGGGCGTAGAGGGACGACTTTTGCGTCGAGTCAGAAGTCTTTTGGGGATGTGAAGGGGCGAGGTAGCTTTGGGGAGGCGAGAGAGCGCGGTTACATTGGTAACAATGGTCGCAGAGGGGAGGGGGAAAGGGAGCGGCGGAGGGGAGAATGGGAGGGGAGGGAGGGAGAGAGTTGGAGGGGAGAATGGGAGGAGTTTGAAGGGGAGAGATGGAGGGGAGGAAAGGAGGGGAGTGCGGGGGAGAGGAGGCGGACAACTAGCGAGGGGAGCAGGTGGCAAGGGGCGAATGGGGATGGAGGGTTCAAAAAGGGTTCAGGCGAGGTTGATGGTTTAGGGAGAAACCAGAGAAGGGTTTCAAGTGCTCAATTCAACAGGGATAATGCAGGGTCGGACGCGGAGGGATATGAGGACGAGCTGTTTGGGTGGTCGTCTGCTGATGACTTGGAGGCACAGCTACAGCGTGAGGAGCGCCGATCCGTGTATGTTCCAAGGGCACGGGCTGCCAGTGGCGTGCAGCAGCAGCAGAGGCAAGCGCAGGGGCAAGCACAGGGGCAAGCGCAGGTGCAGCAACAGCAGCGACAGGAACAGCAGCAGCAGCAGGAGGGGGAGGAGGAGGAGGAGGGAGAGGGGGATGGGCAGGAGGGGCAGTATGTGGATGCGCTTTCCAGACAGCAGCGGCAGCAGTGGCGACAGCAGCAGCAGTGGCAGAAGGAGCAGCAGGAAGAAGTTTCAGCATCACTCTCCTCCTCTCCCTCCTCCCCATCGTCTACCGCTTCTACTGCTTCTGAAAGACAGAACTGGCTGGGCCTGTCCGGCAGGAAAAAGCCGCTCTCCGCCGCCCAGAAGGACCAGTTTTTCAACGTCGCGCCGCCCGAAGGCGATCCGGAAATCGCCCCTATAGATCCGCACTTCCCCTTCCAATACAGCTACTCCGAAACCCCCTCCACCCCCCCAATCGGTTACCGAGAACCCCCATTCTCCCCCTTCGGCCCTGCCACTATGTCTCGCCCCTGGACCGGGCGTGCCCCGCTGAAAAAGGCGAAAAAAGGGGGTGGTTCGGGTAATTTACCCCGGGTGATCCCGGAGTTTGACTCGTTTGTGGCGCCGAGGCGGAAGAGAGGGGTGAAGGGGGTGCAGCCTCCGGGGCCGTTTGGGGAGGGGGAGGGGCCGCGGTATGTGCGGACTAGAGAGGAGGTGCTGGGGGCTCCGCTGACCAGAGAGGAAATAGAGGAAATGGTTGCAGACTGCAACAAAGGAAGGCGGCAGGTGAATCTAGGTGAGCTCATGTGTGGTGTGGTGGAGTGCGGTGGGGTGCTGTGGGGTGGAGTGCGGTTGACTTCAGGGCGTGCAGCCCCCGGGACCGTTTGGGGAGGGGGAGGGGCCGCGGTATGTGCGGACACGAGAGGAGGTGCTGGGGGCGCCGTTGACCAGAGAGGAAATAGAGGAAATGGTTGCAGACTGCAACAAAGGGCGAAGACAGGTGAACCTAGGTGAGCTGAACTCGTGTGTGTGGTGGTGGAGTGCGGTGGGTTGCAGTGGGGTTGGGTGGCACGGAGTGCGGTTGACTTGAGGGCGTGCAGCCCCCGGGACCGTTTGGGGAGGGGGAGGGGCCGCGGTATGTGCGGACATGAGAGGAGGTGCTGGGGGCGCCGTTGACCAGAGATGGAGAGGAGGTGGAGGAGATGGTGGATCACTGCAACAAGGGCAGGCGGCAGGTGAATTTTGGTGAGCTCGTGGTGGGGTGGGGTGGGGTGGGGTGGGGTGGGGTGGGGAGCTGTGGGGTGTGGTGTTATTGACTCACGGTGCTTGAGGCTCTGCTGACGAGGAAGGAGGTGGAGGAGATGGTGGGTGATTGCAACAAAGGGCGACGACAGGTGAACCTAGGTGAGCCTGTGGTGTGGTGTGGTGGGGTTTGGTGGGGTGTGGTGGGGTTGACTCTTGGGTGCTTGGGATGGGCTGATCCATGACCCTCTCCCCATTCTTCCCATTTTCCCCCCTCTCCCCTTTCTCATGCCATCACCCCATCACAGGCAGGAACGGGCTGATTCACATCACAACATGCTGGAGCTCACCTGCCGCACACACTGAAAGAGACTCGAAGTTCATGCCCCCTTGCTCATACACCCACTCGCCTCTTCCCTCCTCCTCTGCACACCCGCCATCGCAGGCAGGGACGGCCTGATTCACAACATGCTAGAGCTCATTCACACGCACTGGAAGCACCGCGCCGGCAGTGTGTTCTTTTTGTGTTCTGTTAACTCATCATCTCGCTCACACTTCCCCACCCCACCCACCCCCATCTCAGGTCGAGACGGCCTGATTCACAACATGCTGGAGCTCATTCACACGCACTGGAAGCGGCGGCGGTGTGTGAAGGTTAAGTGCAAGGGCGTGCCGACAGTTGACATGGACAATGTGTGCCGCGTGGTGGAGGTGCGTGTGGTGTGGAGGGAGGTGCGTGGGGTGTGGGGGGAGGTGCGTGGCTTGTAGTGACGCACCGGTGGGATAAGGATGGGAAGGCAGGGCGGCACTCTGTACGTGTTCCGATGACACAACTACTACAACAACCAACTTAGTCGATTTTTGAGTCGACTCAAAAATCCGATGACACAACTACAACAACAACCAACTACCGCACCGCCTGCGTCCCCGCCTGCTCTCACCTCTCCCTGATCTGTCCCCTCCCTGATCTGTCCCCTCCCTGATCTGTCCCCTCCCTGATCTGTCCCCTCCCTGATCTGTCCCCTCCCTGATCTGTCCCCTCCCTGATCTGTCCCCTCCCTGATCTGTCCCGTCCCTGATCTGTCCCCTCCCTGTTCTGTCCCCTCCCTGTTCTGTTTCGTGGCATGTCTCATGCAAGCAGGACAAGACGGGTGGCAGGATCATCAAGAGACAGGGCGGCACACTCTATGTGTTCCGGGGCCGCAACTACAACTACCGCCTCCGCCCGCGCCTGCCGCTCATGCTGTGGAAGCCCCCCGCGCCCATCTACCCCAAGCTCATTCAAGACGCTCCTGGGGGGTTGACGCTCAGACAAGCGCAGGAGCTGAGACGGATTGGCAGGAAGATTAAACCCCTCTGCAAGCTAGGTACGTGAGTGTGTGTGTGCAAGCTAGGTACGTGAGTGTGTCTGTGCCAGCTAGGTACGTGAGTGTGTCTGTTCAAGCTAGGTACGTGAGTGTGTCTGTGCCAGCTAGGTACGTGAGTGTGTCTGTGCCAGCTAGGTACGTGAGTGTGTCTGTGCCAGCTAGGTACGTGAGTGTGTCTGTGCCAGCTAGGTACGTGAGTGTGTGTGTGCAAGCTAGGTACGTGAGTGTGTCTGTGCCAGCTAGGTACGTGAGTGTGTCTGTGCCAGCTAGGTACGTGAGTGTGTCTGTGCCAGCTAGGTACGTGAGTGTGTCTGTGCCAGCTAGGTACGTGAGTGTGTCTGTGCCAGCTAGGTACGTGAGTGTGTCTGTGCCAGCTAGGTACGTGAGGGCACACATGGGGAGTGCTGCTGTGGAAGCCCCCCGCGCCCATCTACCCCAAGCTCATCCAAGACGCTCCTGGTGGGTTGACGCTTAGACAAGCACAGGAGCTGAGACGTATCGGCAGGAAGATTAAGCCTCTGTGCAAGCTAGGTATGCGCGTGCCGTGCACACACATGCACTCATTTTGAGTCGACTCAAAACAAAGCTAGGTATGCGCGTGCATACACATGCACTCATACATGCACACACATGCACTCATACATGCACACACATGCACTCTTACATGCACACACATGCACTCATACATGCACACACATGCACTCATACATGCACACACATGCACTCATACATGCACACACATGCACTCATACATGCACACACATGCACTCATACATGCACACACATGCACTCATACATGCACACACATGCACTCATACATGCACACACATGCACTCATACATGCACACACATGCACTCTTACATGCACACACATGCACTCTTACATGCACACACATGCACTCTTACATGCACACACATGCACTCATACATGCACACACATGCACTCATACATGCACACACATGCACTCATACATGCACACACATGCACTCTTACATGCACACACATGCACTCATACATGCACACACATGCACTCATACATGCACACACATGCACTCTTACATGCACACACATGCACTCTTACATGCACAGACATGCACTCTTACATGCACACACATGCACTCATACATGCACACACATGCACTCATACATGTACACACATGCACTCATACATGCACACACATGCACTCATACATGCACACACATGCACTCATACATGCACACACATGCACTCATACATGCACACACATGCACTCATACATGCACACACATGCACTCATACATGCACACACATGCACTCATACATGCACACACATGCACTCTTACATGCACACACATGCACTCATACATGCACACACATGCACTCATACATGCACACACATGCACTCTTACATGCACACACATGCACTCATACATGCACACACATGCACTCTTACATGCACACACATGCACTCATACATGCACACACATGCACTCTTACATGCACACACACAGGGAGTCACACCAGGGAGGGTATTGCATTGGAAGCCCCCTGCGCGCATCCACCTGAAGGTTATTCAAGACGGATGACAGGATTTTCTACTTTCCTGTCGCTCTTCTCTTCCCTCTTACTACCATCTCTTACTACCATCTCTTACTCACTGCAGGCAAGAACGGCGCGTATCACCGGCTGGTGGTGGGTGTGTTGTTCTGTTCACTCCTCTTTCACCCTTCCCCACCCCCTCACCCTCCTACTCACTGCAGGCCAGAACGGAGTGTATCACCCTTTGGTGGGCGGGGTTTGAGGAGGCGGACCTGGTGGGCCATCTTGCCACCCAACTCGACTCCCCCCTCCCTCCCCCTCTCTCTTCCCATGCCTCTCTCCCCTTGTTTTACCCCCCTCTCTGCGGTTTCCAGGCAAGAACGGAGAGTACCACCGGATGGTGGGCGTGGTGAGGGCGGGGTTTGAGGAGGCGGACCTGGTGGGCCATCTTGCCACTCAACTCAACCCCTCCCCCTCCCCCTCCCCCTCCCCCTCTCTCTTCCAATGCCGCTCTCCCCTTGCTTACCCCTCCCTCCCTGCGGTGTCCAGGCAAGAACGGAGTGTATCACCGGCTGGTGGGCGTGGTGAGGGCGGGGTTTGAGGAGGCGGATCTGGTGCGCGTGGACTGCAAGGGCATGAACAAGAGCGACTACAAGAAGATTGGTGCCAAGCTGCGGGTGAGTGAATTGTGTGGGAGGTTGTGGATGGTCAGGGGAGGCAAAGGGGTTTGAGGAGGCGGATCTGGTGTGTGTGGACTGCAAGGGGATTAACAAGAGCGACTACAAGAAGATTGGCGCCAAGCTCAGGGTGAGTGGGCTGCCTGTGTCAATAGGTGTGATGCAGACGGGTTCGAGATGGTGGATCGGATACAGGTGAGGTGGATCGCCAGGGGCGCAACACGAGTGAATACAAGAAGATTGGCGCCAAGCTCAGGGTGGGTGGATGGTTGGGAAGGCTGGGTTGGGAAAGCAATCTTCTCTGACAACTCATTTTTTCCTTGACACCTCATAACATGTATGGAAGAGAAAAATGAGGTCCTGGACTGGAGCCAAGGAGAGATCCAGGCCCTCGAAACATGTCTATACTTGAGGGCCCCAATCTCTCCTTGGCTATCTCAACCCCTTGCCTCCGTCTCACCCCCTTGCCTCCGTCTCACCCCCTTGCCTCCGTCTCACCCCCTTGCCTCCGTCTCACCAACCCCTTGCCTCCGTCTCACCAACCCCTTGCCTCCGTCTCACCAACCCCTTGCCTCCGTCTCACCAACCCCTTGCCTCCGTCTCACCAACCCCTTGCCTCCGTCTCACCAACCCCTTGCCTCCTTCGCTGTGATTGGCCACCACCAGGACCTGGTGCCATGTGTCCTGCTCTCATTCGAGAAGGAGCAGATCCTCATGTGGCGCGGGCTGGACTCACAGGAACCTTCTCCCGCAGCTTCCCCCGAAAGTTCCTCTGAAAATTCCACACAGGCGGAAGGTGCCATCGCAGCAGCAGCGGCAGGCGGGGAAGGGAATAATCCCACAGGAGAAACTTCAGGGTGGTTAGTTGTAGCTGGGAGTGCTGGGATGGGGGCTGAGATGGAAGGAGGGGAGGTAGGGGGGAGGGAGGGTGTGTGGAAGTTTGATGTGGAGGACGAGGGGGAGGTGGAGGTGAGTGTGAGTGTGGATGCGGATGGTGTGATGGTGGTGGGTGGGGAGGAAGGGGAGGAGGAAGGGGGGGAGGAAGTGGGTGGTGTGGATGGGGATGGTTGGGATGATGAGGAGAGGTGGGGTGAGGAGGGAGGGAATAGGGATGGTGGCAGCAGTGGTGGTGAGAGTGGGAGTGAGGGAGACTGGCATGTGAGTGACGATAGGATTGGCAATGGGAGAGCTAGAGCCCTTGATCAAGGTCAAGGTTCTTCCCATGGATTTTCCCAAGGCGTTTCTCAAGAATTCACGGGAGGATTACCTCGAGGAGCGTCTCAAGGAGGCTCTCTAGGAGAAGGCTATTCAAGTCATGAGAAGGCCGTGGGTATTGGACATGAGCAAGCGGGTATGAATACTGCGGTCTCATTTTCCTCTGAGACTGGATGTGAAGCGGTCTTCGATGAGTTTGAGGAGCTTTGGGAGAAGGCGACAAGAACGGGAGAGATAACGCCACTAGATGGCTCAAAGTAGTTACGTGAATCTACAAGATCATCCTACTCTTGTGTTGCTCTGACACCAAGTGGTGGGGGGGCAACTGGTTATTATAAATGCGTGATGAAGAGAAACTATTGTATGCTGGCATGTTACAATGCATTGCATCATATGTCCTCAAGCAAGGTACAATTGTAAGCTAATACAATATTTTGTAGAGCTGCTTGTAGGTGTGTATTGTTGCGTGCCCCGTGGCTGTTCTTATAAAGGATACGCTCGACTGCCCCAACTCCACTGTGATTGGCCAGCAATGCTGGCTCGTAGCTGGTGTTGGAATTGGAGTTCTCGAAGAAAGTCTTCCCTCACGCGCCCACCACAACCACAACCAACCACCATCGTCGGCACCACCATCCCACCTTGGGATTGGGAACTCATCGCCGTGCGACATACCAGACCAGACTCTTCGCGAACAGCTCGCTTCGTCGCAGAACGGAGATTGTTGGCCAGTACCTGCGACGATACTGGGTCAGCTGGTTTTCCACGACTCTTCAAGGCGTCGCACTGTCTCCCATTTCGAATCTTTTTCCCCTCGCACGGTCGCACGGTCTCTGCTGGTCGCACAGTTTCGCTCAGAAGTTCTGCAGTCATTCCAGATCTTCCTCCATTCCAGCCACTTCTCCCTCCATCTGTCTTCCGGCCGTAAATTCAAGCAGTCTCAAAATAGATCCTTGGGAATTGGGCCGACTATCGTTCTTGCTGATCCAGCTAACCCAGAGTTGCTGACAGCAGATCGGCGACAATGGTGCGTCCTTAGCTTCGTTCTGCCGTTTCGAGACGTGAAAATCGCCTTGTTCTGGTGGGTTATCTCGCTTGTCACTAACACATTGTGTGCTCTGCACTTTGCTTTCTTTCCTTTTGCTCTGCAGGGTAGAAAATTGTGGTGCCTTTTCGTGCTCGCTCTCCTATTATGTGCGTCTATCCACGCGGCCGACGCGAAGAAAAAGAAAAAGGTTGTAGTGGAGGAAGAGGAGGCAGCAGATGAGGGAACCACCGCGGCTGAGCAGAGCGATGAGGGCGACGCGGAAGAGAAAACGACCACAAAAGCTTCCAAAGCAGACGCTGAAGCTTCAGAGGATGAAGATGCGGAGCCGCCTGCGAAGCCCTTAAAGTCGTCTAAAAAAGCCAGCAAGCTTAAGAAGGCAGCGGAGGAGGAGGAGGGGGAGGAGAAGGAGGAAGCAGCAGCAGACGCCGACGAGGCCGATGCCGCTCCTCCGAAAAAGGCAAAGTCTGCGAAGAAAGCGAGCGACGATGAAGAGGAGGACGCAGACGCTGCGCCTGTCGCTAAGAAAAAGGCTGCAGCGGACGACGAGGAAGCTTCCGCTGAAACGGAGGACGAAGAGGAAGCTCCTGCTGCGAAAAAGGCGCCTGCGGCGAAAAAGAAGGCTGCAACCGCGGATGAGGAAGGTGGGGAAGAGGAAGCAGCCGAGGAGGAGGATAAGCCGAGCAAGGCCGCTGTAGTTAAGGCCACCAGCGCTAAGGAAGCAGATTCCGAGGAGGAGGGGGAAGCAGAGGGCGAGAAGGTTACGGCGACTGAAGCCGATGAGGAGAAACCGAAAGCTGCCAAGGGCGGCGTCGCGGCTGTGTCTAAGGAGCCTCCTATGGAGTCACCGAAAGTCCCAGCCACGGCGTGGAAGTCGAAAAACCAGACGCGCGACGACATTGATCCGCAAGGTTCGCAATCAAGATTTAATCGACGCGACCGCATTGATACTCAAATCGTCCTTTAGATCCGTTGTAGCAAGATCGTACGGCCGACGCGGAAACTAGAACGAATTACTTTTTTTTTTTCGCAATACAGGTGCTTGCAAGCGGGACATCGCGCTTCACTGCCAGGGGATCACGCCTGGCGAGGCTCAGCTGTCGCTCTGCCTCGTCTTCCACATCAAGAACGAGAAGGCCGGCAACGAAGTCGCCAGTAAGCTCCGCTCGATAATCACTCTCCGTTGTTGCAATCGCTTTCGGGTTATCGTTTCAAAACACCACCTGTCTCGCGAGAACGGTTTTCCGCCGTCTTGTCCATCGTAATCCGTTCATTTGCCTGATGCTCCCTCCCTCCACCTCTGGTGCGGTTGGCAGCGATCATGGTGTCCAAGAAGTGTCGCGCGGAGATCCGGCAGTTCCGATCCGACATGTACAGGGACCTCTCCATGGACAAGGCCATGTGTGCGTATCTCAGTCCAAAAATCCTTGGTATTTCTGGCGAAATCCACGTATCTCCTTAGTTTTGCACCGATTGTCGTTTCCTGCTTAGTCTACCTCGTGTCTTGATGCCTGTACTTGTGGCCTTTGGGCCTCGGTTCTTTGCGTGGCTGGCAGCGACGGCGTGCAAGGCGGACATCACCAAGTTCTGCGACGACGACTTCCTCTATCCCGAACCCGGCAACATCATCGCGTGCCTCAGGTATGCGAACGCTCGTGCGCAGACAGTCAAATACGCAGATTTTTTTCCTCGTTTTCAGACGAACGCGCACTTGAGTGCGCAGACTTGTGCGCGGAAACGAAGGATTTGATTGTTTTGTTCCTTCCTTTTTATTTTACCTCACCGAAGCTATGGAATGCGGACATGTGACCTTATGCGGTTGTTGGAGAAGAACAAAAAAAAAGCAACAAAAACCAAAATATTTCGAATCTGTGTTCAGGGAAGTGAAGCAGGTGGAGAAGCTGCAGGACGCGTGTCTGGCGGAGGTGCTGCGACACCAGATGGAGGCGGCGGACGACTTCGTGATGGATCCGCAGCTGCGCGAGCTCTGCAGCGGCGAGGCCGACCGCCTCTGCAAGGGCGTGGAGCCCGGGGAAGGCCGCATTCAGAACTGCCTGGTCAGTGTGGCACACAGAGAGTCTATTTTCTAGGCGCTTCAGACATAGCATGATAGCAAGGGCGTCGAGCCCGCCGCATTCAGAACTGCCTGATCAGTGTGGCACACAGAAAGTCTATTCTCTAGGCGCCTCAGACATAGCATGATAGCAAGGGTGTCGAGCCCGCCGCATTCAGAATTGCCTGGTCAGTGTGGCACACAGGAAGGGAGCATTTTTCTTAGGAGCCTTAGAAATAGCAAGGGCGTGGAGCCGGGGGAAGGCCGCATTCAGAACTTCCTGGTCAGTGTGGCTCACAGAGAGTCATATTTCTAGGCGCTTGAGAAACAGCAAGGGCGTGGTGCTCGGGAAGGCCGCATTCAAAACTGCCTGATCAATGTGCTGCACAGGGAGACTAGTTTTCTAGGCGCCTTAGGAGTAGCAAGTGCGCGAACTTGGGGAAGGCCGCGTGCAGAAGTGTCTGCTTAGTGTGGCTCACAGGGAGTCTAGATCTTAGGCGTGTCAGAGCTAGAATGGGCGTGGAGCGCGGCGAAGGCCGCGTGCAGAACTGCCAGGTTAGTGTGGCACACAAGGAGACTGACAGACAGGCAGACGGACAGGCAGACGGACAGGCAGATTGACAGGGAGACGCAAACATGCAGACGAAACATAGTTGTTGGTCTCTAAGTGGTGATGGTTGGTTTTCAAAGTGCCGATCGTGGGGTTGTTGTGGTGGTGTGGTTGCGATGCGGCGCAGAGGGAACACCGTGCGAAGCTGGCGTGGGATTGTCAGGCGGAGCTGTTCCGGCAGGAGGTGGAGAACGCCGATGACATTCGCCTCAACGTCCGCCTATTCCAAGGTCAGCCTTCCTACCCACCTGGTGCGTTTTCCCCCACCTGGTGCGCGCCCACTGGCCAGGTGCCCCTTCCCCCACCAGGTGCGCCTTCCCTTTCCCCACCAGGTGCGCCTTCCCTTTCCCCACCAGGTGCGCCTTTCCTTTCCCCACCAGGGGCGCCTTTCCTTTCCCCACCAGGTGCGCCTTTCCTTTCCCCACCAGGTGCGCCTTCCCTTTCCCCACCAGGTGCGCCTTTCCTTTCCCCACCAGGTGCGCCTTTCCTTTCCCCACCAGGTGCGCCTTTCCTTTCCCCACCAGGTGCGCCTTTCCTTTCCCCACCAGGTGCGCCTTTCCTTTCCCCACTTGGTGCGCGTTCCCTCCAGCCAGGTGCACCTTATCCCACCAGGTACGCCTTCTTGGCCACAGGTATAGGTTCCTTCCCAGCAGGTACGGATTCCCTACCAGCAGGTACGGCTTCCCTCCCAGCAGGTACGGCTTCTCTCACAGCAGGTATGGCTTTCCCAGCCTTTCTCCCTCCCTAGCGCGTTGTTCGAACTCGTTTCCTTATTTTCCCTTCTGTTACTCTTCTCCCGCGATATTTTTCCTCCCTCCCCCTATCGTCTCCCGACCTAAATCACTCCCTCGCAACCTCCCCTCTTCTCCCTGCGTTTGCAGCATGCCTGGACGACCAGCGCAAGTTCTGTGCAGACGTGAAGTATGGGGATGCGCGTGTGAAGGACTGCTGTTTGATGCGCTTCAAAGATGTACTTCCTCCTCGCCTCCCCCTCCCCCTCCCTGCCCCCTCGCATGTGCAGCATGCCTGAACGACCAGCGCAAGTTCTGTGCGGATGTGAAGTATGGGGATGCGCGTGTGAAGGACTGCTGTTTGATGCGCTTCAAAGATGTACTTCCTCCTCGCCTCCCCCTCCCCCTCGCTGCCCCCTCGCGCGTGCAGCGTGCCTGAACGACCAGCGCAAGCTCTGTGCGGATGTGAAGTATGTAGATGCGTGTGTGAAGGATATTTGAGGGATTTTTGAGGCGCCTCAAAGATAATCTGCCCCCCTCCCCCCCCCCCCTAACTCCAAACGTGTGCAGTGTGCCTGAACGACCAGCACAAGTTCTGTGCGGATGAGAAGTATGGGGATGCACGTGTGATGGACTGCTGTTTGATGCGCTTCAAAGATGTACTTCCTCCTCGCCTCCCCCTCCCCCTCCCTGCCCCCTCGCATGTGCAGCATGCCTGAACGACCAGCGCAAGTTCTGTGCGGATGTGAAGTATGGGGATGCGCGTGTGAAGGACTGCCTGGAGGACCATCGCCTCGACGCCGAGTTCTCCCCTGGCTGGTACGCTTCTTGTTTCTGTTCTTTATGAATCCTGCCGTTTGTTTCGCTCCTTATGAGATGTGTTAGCCTGATTCCCTGCCCCACCTACCCGATTCCCCCACCCACCCCTCCCCCCTCACTTTCTCCCCATCTCCCCCCCGTTCCCCCCCTCCATCCCTACCCCGCTCTCCTGACTGCAAGACGGAGTTTGAGAAGATGATGGCGCGCAGGCCCGCTGACTTCTGAGTTAACTTCCCACCTCCCCGCCTCCTCCTTCCCTTTTTTCCCCCCTCCATCCCTTTTTTCCCCCCTCCTTCCCACCTCCCCTCCCCCCCTTGCAGCAAAACGGAGTTTGAGAAGATGATGGCGCGCAGGCTCACCGATTTCTGAATCAACTCTAAAGGCACCTCCGCGCCTCCTCCTTCCCTTTTTCCCCCTCCTTCCCACCTCCTCTTCCCCCCTGGCAGCAAGACGGAGTTTGAGAAGATGATGGCACGCAGGGCCAGTGACGTTTGAGTCGACTCAAATCTTTCCACCCCCCCACGTCCCCCCTCTTTCTCCCTCCCTTACCTTTCCCCCTGGCAGCAAGACGGAGTTTGAGAAGATGATGGCGCGGAGGGCCACGGACTTCAGGCTGGACTCGCGCCTGCGCAAGTACTGCAAGGGCGACATTGCCGAGGTGCGTTTGTGTGTGGGTTACAGCTGGAACAGCAGAGCAGAGTTGCGTGCGTGGGTGGGGGTTAGAGGGGGAACAGCAGAGCAGAGGTGCGTGCAATTGAAGGGGTGAGGGCCACGGACTTCCAAGGCTGGATTTGCGCCTGCGTAAGTACTGCAAGGGCGACATTGCCGAGGTGCATGTCTGTGAGGGGCCAGTGCAGAGAAGGCATGCGTGGGTTGGGTGGGTGGGGGGACAGTGCAAGCAGAGGTGCTGCGTGGATTGGGGAAGAGCATAGATGTGTGTGCTAGAGGAGCATTTCATTTCAGAGGTGAATGCAGGGAGGCATGGCAGAGGTGCACGCAGGGGCAGACCTTTTTGATGTGGCCAACTGTTACGCCCTCTCCCCCCTCTCAACCCTCTGCCCTCCCATCCCTCCCTCTTTACCAACCCTCCAAATCTGCTGCCCTGATGCGGAGGACATGTACGACGTGGCCAATGACAACGCTCCCTTGTTCCCTCCCCCCTCCCTCCCTCCCTCCCTCCCTCACCCCTCCCCCACTCCCACTCCTTTTCTCCCCCTCTCTTCTCGCCCCCTACCTCTTCTCCAGGTCTGCTATCCAGATGTAGAGGACATATCGGACGTGGCCAACTGCGATGCCCTCTCTCTCCCCTCCCTCACCTCTCTCCTATCCTTCCCCGTCCCTCCCCTTCCTCTTCTCCTCGCTCCCCACCCCTCCCAGATCTGCTACCCATATGCAGGGGACATGTCAGACGTGGCAAACTACGATGCCTAGGCGATCCAGTGTGTGCAGGAAGGACTACCGCGACGAGCTCACCTCCCTCCCTCTTCCCCTTTCCTTCCCTGCAGATCACTTTTGAGATGTCTCAAAAGTCGTCTACTACTGCTATGAGCTCACCTCCCTCCCTCCCTCTTCCCCTTTCCTTCCCCAGATCTGCTACCTGGACGCGGAGTACATATCAGACGTGGCAAAATATGGCGCCTTGTCTCCCTCTCCTCACTCACACTCTTCCTCTTTCCCCCTTGTCCCCCACCCCCCACTCACTCCCCTACAGATCTGCTACCCGGACGCGGAGGACATATCGGACGTGGCCAACTACGACGCCAAGGTGATCCAGTGTCTGCAGGACTACCGCGACGAGCTCAAGGACCCCAAGTGCAAGGCGCAGGTGCACAAGCTCACCGAGAGGGAGATCGACATCCGCTTCAACAAGCCACTCTCTGACGCCTGCCAAGGTGAGTGCGATTGGTTTTTGCTGTAACAAACCCGCTGGTGATGCCTGTCAAGGTCTGAGGTTGGTCTGGCAAGCTGCAATACGTTTCCCCTTTTACCAGCTTCGTCTGCTTGGCTGGCTCTAGCCGCTGTCATAACATTCCCTTGCTTTTCTGTTCTGCTGTGAATCATTATGAAGCTGCGTGCGTACTTACCATATCCACGCTCTAAATTGCTGTCCTCCGTCATCTCCACGCGTCCATGGCCCCATCCCCTTTCCCCCCCCGCCCCCCCAAACAGCTGATCGCACCACGGTGTGCAAGGGCGCACTGGATGGGCAGGCGTCCGTGTTCATGTGCCTGCTCATATGTGCCTCAAAGCACGGGTCCTCAATTGTTCTTCTCTACAACCCCACACTCCCATCCCGCCACACGCAGCTGATCGCACCACGGTGTGCAAGGGCGCACCAGACGGGCGGGCAGGCGTTGGTGTTCCTGTGCCTGTTCCGATGTGCCTCAAAGCATGTGTCTCAATCAACCCCTCCCCCCCTCCACATCCCCATATTCCCATGCCCCATCCCTCCGTGCGCACATGCTCCCATCCCATCCTCCCACGCGCAGCTGATCGCACCACGGTGTGCAAGGACGCGCCGGATGGGCAGGCGTCGGTGTTCATGTGCCTGCAGGACCACATGCCCCAGCTCAAGGAAGCCTGCCGTAACTCTGTCTTTGAGCAGGTAAATTCCTGTCTCATTCCTGTACGTGGTGACTGTTGAGTCAATCCATCTGTTGCTCATCCCTCAACACTTTTTTGCATCCCTTCATACTCCACTCCACCCCTCTCCGTTCCGTCATCTCCTCCAGATGGTAGAGGACATTGGCGTCAAGTTTAATGCATTCACGCACCTGTCGTTCAACCCTTTGCACCCCTCTCCACCGCTTCTAAATCCCCAGTTGGTGCGCATGGCGGAGGACATAGACTTCAAGTTCCCCATGAAGAAGGCCTGCCAGTCGGAGCTCGACAAGTTCTGCAAGGACGTGCCCCACGGTGAGCTTTGCTCGAACTCGTGGTGAGCTGTGCTGAATTGTACGTGAGTCTAAGGATGTGCCCCGCGGTGAGCTTGATAATTTCTGCAGGGACATGCCCCACGGTGAGCTTTGCGCTTGTCTTCTATCCCGCTGTTCCCAAGGCACCAACCTGTCTCCCATCAGCTTTCCTCCCATCCTCCTGCATCAAGCAGAACCTCATCTTACTATGAGTAATCTGCACGATTCCTCCCTTCTCTTCCTTCCTCCCTTCCGCCCTTACACCCTCCGTTGCAACCTCCCTCGCACCCTGTCTCCCTCCATTCCTATTGGCCACACGTGCACCTGCCAGCCTCAGGCAATGCCTCACGCATTTCTCCCTGCACTTCCCTTCTCCCCCCCTCTTCCCCATGTTCACTCTCCTCCACCCCCCCTGCCCCCCATGCGTCCGTCACCCCCCACCAGGCCATGCATCACGCATCAAGTGTCTGCAGGACCACATTGACGATGCCGACTTTGGGGAGGCGTGCCGCAAGGAGGTGCAATCCGACCTCGTGCGATCAGCGCAAGGTGAGGGGTCACTGGGATGTGCAGTATGAAGCTCAAGAAATGCGCACACACAGTCAGGCTGACTTTGGGGAGGCGTGCCTCAAGGAGGTGCAATCTGACCTCGTGCGGTCGGCGTAAGGTGAGCATTGGGATGGAAACACCGCACGCACACGGTGCAAGCAGTGCTGACAGTGCACGCACACGGTGCAAGCAGTGCTGACAGTGCATGCTCAAAGTCGGGTCCACGATGCAATTTTGAGGAGGAATTTGAAGAGACGTGCATGTCAACCTCATGCGATCAGCACAAGGTGGGGACTGGGAATGTGCAAGCAGTGCTGACAGGAATAGTGCGTGCAGTGCTGACAGAAGTAGTGCATGCACACAGTCACGTTTACGATGCGACTTGGGAGGAATTGGAAGGAGGCGCAGTATTTCGTGCAGGCACAAAGTAAGAAACGTTTGGGAGCGTGCAAGCAGTGCGAGCGTTGGTGGGAACAGTGCCGACACACTCTGGTTTAGGATGCAGCTCTTTGATTGCGTTTATGGCAGCCCCTTTTGTGGCTTTCCAGCTGTTCTCCTGCTCTTTCCTCCTGTTGGTCCCCCCTTCAAAACTACTGGGGGCACATGACGTGCCTGCCCAACACCCAGCAACAGTGCCTGCACACATGCACCGTAACTGCCCCGCACCCACATTTCACCCATGCCTCACCTCTGTTAATCCCCTCTTCCCCTCCCTCGTCCCCCATCTCCCTTCCCCCCTTCCCCCCCTCTCTTCCCAGACTACCGGCTGAATTACCGGCTGCACAAGGCGTGCCTGCCCGACATCCAGCAGCAGTGCCTGCACGCGTGCGACGCAGCCTCCGCCAACGGCACAGCCACGTGCGGCGGCATGGTGCTGCGCTGCCTGCAGGACAACAAGGCCAAGCTGCAGTCCCCCTCCTGCGCCCAGGAGGTGGACTCCTTCAGCGTGATAGAGGCCAAGGACCCGCTGTCGTTAGACGTGCCACTGCAGAAGGCGTGCCAGGGGGATCTGGTCAAGCTGTGCCCGGATGTGAGCCGGGATCACGCACGTACATTGTCGTGCCTGCGCACCAAGAGGGAGAAGCTGTCGACCTCGTGCCGCGAGGAGGAGATGCGCTTCAGCATCATGGAGGTGGGTGGGAGGGAGTGGGTGGTGACTGGGTTTATGGAGAGGAGGAGAGGAGGAGATGCGCTTCAGCATCATGGAGGTGGGTCCTGGGTGGTGCATGGTGTGTGGGAACTATCAATGGTGCTTATGTTGTATTCAGCACGGATTCAGTTCTGGTCAGCAAGCAGGCAGCCTTTTCCCCTGTTTCTCCTATTCTCACACCTTTGTTGCTCTTCTGGAGTGGCTTGACTCCTCATTTCTCTTTGCCTCGCTTTCCCCTTCCCCTCTCCTTCCCCCTCCCCTCTCGTCCCCCTCCCCTCTCGTCCTCCTCCCCTCTGCTCCCGCTGCCAGGCATCGGACATTCGGCTCACACCATCCCTCATGAATGCATGCGGCCAAGGTGAGCCACTAGCACAAACCGCCCTGCATGCGGCCAAGGTGAGCCACTGGTACAAACCGAGCTGCATGCGGCCAAGGTGAGCCACTGGCACAAACCGAGCTGCATCTCTTGCATGACCGTCCTTTGCTGAGGCAGTCTCTTGCCAGTGCATAGGGTGCATGTCGAGCTTTCTGTTCTTTGTCCACCTTCACTTAACCCAGTCCTCCACCCATTCCACCCACATAACCCCAAAGCCGGAGTCATGATACCCCCCCTTTCAGTCTGAGATGTTCCCCTTGCTCAGTCTGAGAGGGTCATCGTCCCCCTTGCTCTTCCCCCCTCCCCACTATCCCCACCCCCCACCCCACCCTTTCAACCGCATGCCATGTCCCCCCCACTTGGCTGCACAGCTTGTGCTGTGGCGCTCGCATGTCCTTACCCTTGTCATCTGCACACACTCTCCCTCCCGATCCACAGTGGATACCATCCCCTCTCTCCCCCCCACACACACATTGCCCTCCACCCACAGAGCTTCCAAGCCTGCCGCTGCGCTCCAATGTCTTTACCCTTGTCCTCCACACACACCCCACACACATTCCCTTCCCACCCACACACACACCGTTCCCTCTCCACCTGCAGAGCTGCAGAGTCTGTGCCGCGACACGCCCCCCACGGAGGGGCAGGCGTGTTCAAGTGTCTGCAGGAGCCCCCGTTCCCATCCCTTCTCACACCCCTTCCCTTCTTCGTTCCCGTCCGTTTCTGCCCTTATTCTTGTTCTTGTCTTCCTCTCCACATACAGAGCTGCAGAGTCTGTGCCGCGACGGCTCCCCACGGAGGGGCAGGCGCTCATGTGTCCGCAGGAGGGCCTTCAGAGCTTCAGAGTCTCTGATTTCGTGCTCCAATATCTTTTCCCTTGCCCTCCTCGCACACCCCACACACGTTGCCCACCCCTCCCACCCACAGAGCTGCAGAGCCTGTGCCGCGACGCGCCCCCCACGGAGGGGCAGGCGTTCAAGTGTCTGCAGGAGCACCTGCAGGACGTGGGCATGGGCGCAGCATGCAAGGGCGAGGTGAACCTGCAGGAGGCGCGGCACGCCTCCAACTACCGCCTGGACGTGCGCGTGCGCAAGGAGTGCGAGGACGATGTTACCAAGTTCTGTAACGGAGTGGACGCGGGGCAGGAGGGGAATGCGTTGGTTCTCAAGTGTATGGTTGGCAGCTTCAAGAGCCTCTCCTCCTCCTGCCAGTCCGAGGTGCGTTCTGCCGCTCTTCGTTTGACATGGTATGTGATCCCCTTTCTCCTGTCCAATGTGCATGGCTCTTGTCCAGACCAGGGCCACAGGGCGGGTCACAGCGGCGATTGCTGATATGGGTGCGCGGCTCCCACACCTCTTCCACTCCAACCTTCTCCTCCTCCCAGGTGTCTTACGCGGTGCGCATGGCTCTCTTCCAGTACCACAAGGGGGCAGCCCTCACCCAGCCCTGTGACACCGCTGTCGAGGAGCTCTGCAACACCGGCAGCGCCGCTGCTGCCACCACGCCAGTGAAGGAGATCAACGGGGCGGTGATCGGCGTTTACGGGCAGTGCCTCGTGTCGCAGAAGCGCCAGCGCCTGCCGGAGGAGTGCCGCACGCTGGTGAAGCTGGTGGCCAAGGAGGGCGCGTATGTGGGCGGCACTGTGGACCAGAACAAGCTTGAGGAAACTCTTGAAAAGCTCAAGGCGGTGAGGCTGCTGGGGGAATGGGATGGGATGCGCTGTGGTGGGGTGCTGTATGGTGCTGTGGGGTGCAGTGCGGGACGGGGCTGGGTGCGGTGGGTTTCGGTGGGGCGGGTTGAGGCGGGGTGTGACGGGTGCGTATGTGGGCGGCAACGTGGACCAGAACAAGCTTGAGGAATTTCTTGCGAAGCTCAAGGTGGTGAGGCTGAGGCTCCCAGGTGCATGGGATGGGATGGGATGGGATGCTGTGCGGTGGGGTGCGGGGCGGTGATTTGAGATGAAATGGGTCACAAATTGGGGTGTGATGGGCGTATACGGGCAGTGCCTGGTGTTGCAGAAGCGCTGTCAACCGCATGTTATTGAGCCCTGTTGTTCCAACAACTAAATATTAACACCACCCACCCACCCATCCCCCACTCTTACCCGCCCCCTTCCTTTTCCAAGCAGCTACAGGAGGCAGCAGCAGCGGCAACAACAGCAGACGGTGGGAGGATTGTTGCTCACGACACAGGTCTAGTGATCTCCGGGTGGCTGGCTGCTGCTGCTCTGGCCGCGGTGGTCATTGTCGCCATTGCCATCGGCTGTGCCGTCTACTACAGGTTCTTCAGCCCCACCCGCAACTACACTCTGGTTGTCAAGTCTTCTCCGGGTGCTGTTGGGGTGTAGGTGTGAGGTGACTCGGTAGCATCAGCTGTGCCGTTTCGAGTACTGCAGGTCTTCAGCCCCATGCACTGCTACTCTGGTTGTCAAGTCCGTCCCTGCAGCTTCTGGGGTGTTGAGCGGAGCCAATACACTATCAATACCGAGCTGGGATGTGCAGTACTGTGTTGCAGCCAGAAGGACGTTTCAGTTGCATACTTGCTGCACGCTAGTTGATGGTTGGACTTTTGAGGCGCCTCAAAAGACGCTAGTTGATGGTTGGACTGAAGGAGCAAGTTCGGCGTGATTAAGATGAAGCGACGTTAGTAGTTGATGTGGAAGATGTGCAATGCTTGGCGTGACACTTAAGCCATTGAAGAAACAAGCACTAAACGTAGCAACATAGAAGGGAGGGTCGGCACGAGCATTGCACCTTGCATGGCATGAGATACAACAGAGGGGAGGATGAGGGCGCTGCACTGGGCATGGCATGAGATATGCCATCATCTCACTCCTCTGCTCTTATTCATCCACATCCCCCAGTGGTTCAAATTGCCCATCCAGTCACACTAGACCTGCCCCAGCATGCACGCCTTCTGAGGCGCCTCAAAAAGAGGGAGGATGGGGTTGCAGCACCTCACATGGCATGAGATACGCCGTTTACGCTCACTCATCCCCGTCCTTCCAGTGGTTCAAATAGTCCATCCAATCACACGAGATCTGCCCCTGCATGCACGCATCCCTCCTCGGGTCCTTCACCTCAAAATCCCAAAACGCCGCAGGCGCTCCCTGACTCTTCAGCTTCCTCATCCGAAACTCAATCTCCGCCTTGTGAATATTCCGCAGCCAGCAATGCTCCTGCAGGCCCTCGGGCATCTCATCGTGCATCTTCCACCACCTCTGATGTGCCGCTTCATTAGCATAAGCATGGTCATACGGGTACAGCCACGTGCAGTCAAAGTCGCGGTAGCACTGCCAGGGCTTGCGGCCAAGGTAGTGGATGGTGTGGATCTCAGACGGCTCCTCTGAGAACCACCGGTTCTTCATTTCCAGCTCGAGCGTTCTGCGGGGCTCGTCCGTTGCCCAGACGTGCTTCAAAATGTTGACTGAGTCAGGGAGACGGTGCCACCACGTGAAGTAGTTGTTGAGGTAGCCCTGGGGGGATGGGGAAAGCAGGGGAGGAACGGGGAGAACAGGGGAGGAACGGGGAGAACAGGAGTGGAAGGGGATGCATGAATGAGTGGAAGGTTATGGATGGTGTGGATTTCTGCTGGCTCCTCTGAGAACCACTGGTTCTTCATTTCCCCCGTTGGGCGAGCGGATGGTGTGGACATTGTTGAGGAGCTTGCGGAAGGTGCAGTGGGAGGGGCGCAGCAGCATGAGGCCCGAATTGAAGTCCGTCTGGTCGTTGCCTGAGCATCCATAACCACCATCCTCATCCCCACGCATCCAGCATCCTTCTATCCCCACGCATCCAGCATCCTTCTCCCTCCCCAAGCGTCCATCATCGCACCTGGTCACCACCGTTGGGCGATCGTATAGTGTGCACGTTAGCAAGGAGCTCGCGGAAGGTGCAGTGGGAGGGGCGCAGCAGCATGAGGCCCGAGTTGAAGTCCGTCTGGTCGTTGCCTCGCGCCGCCACGTCGGGGAAGGCGAAGAGATGATCGAGATTGCGCAGCACCAGCAGATCCGCGTCCACGAATATGACTGATGAGTACTCTGTCAGCTGCCACAGGCGCAGCTTGCTGGAGTTATGAGGGGAGGGGAGGGGAGGGGGAAGAGGGTGAAGGGTGTTGAAGGGAGGAAGCAGATTGCGCAGCACCAGCAGATCCGCGCCCACGAATACGACTGATGAGTACTCTGTCAGCTGCCACAGGCGCAGCTTGCTGGAGTTATGAGGGGAGGGGAGGGGAGGGGAGGGGGAAGAGGGTGAAGGGTGTTGAAGGGAGGAAGCAGATTGCGCAGCACCAGCAGATCCGCGTCCACGAATACGACTGATGAGTACTCCACAAGCTGCCACAAGCGCAGCTTGCTGGAAGCAGAAAGGGGGTAACGGAGAGGTGAAGGAGATATCGATTTGCTACTCACACCAACAAAGCATCGCACCATTCAGAAGGTGCTCTCAAACGGCTAGCTGAAAGGCCAACACTGCAAAACTTGAATATAAATTAATAAAAGGGAGGCGCCTATGGAGCCTGAGACCTTACCTCGTTACAAGGACACACACAGCCCACCTGTAGTTCCACTCGTTATACGTGCTTTCCTGCGCGAACGGGTTTCGGATCCGTTCGATCTCCTTTACAATCCACCCCGCATCGCGAAGTGCGTCGCGGCTGTGGTTGCTGATTTCGCGCGACACGAGCGCCACCATGTCGTGGCGGCTGCCGCTGCGCCGAATGCTGTGCCCCAGCACGATTGCGCCGCACACGTAGAACTCCGAGGTGTGCAGAACGGTGGCGTACGCCACTGTGCCCACAGCAGGCGGGTCTGGCAGCGAAAGTGGAGTGGCGTAGTGATAAAGGACAAACGGAGGGGAGGTGGGAAGAGGGGGAAATAAAGAGTGAGGCTGAGACAGGGGGATGAGGGAATGAGAGAAAAGAGGGAAGGAAATGCATGAGTCGAGCCAAAAATCGGAAGGCGGGGACGAGGGAAGAAAACTCAACATGGAGTAACAGGCGAAGGGAGGAGGAGAGACATAGTGGCCTCTCAAGGCACTAGACCCTGAATTCACTCTTCGTTACCTTGTCTGGTTGGCTGAGCCATGCCGCAGGACCCCAACGGCTGAATATTCGGTGCCACGTCAGCAGCTGACATGTTGAAGAGCCACGCGGACCCCTCGTTGCGGACCAATCGGCTGCAGTGGAAGAGATTCGGCGGCGGGCGACACGGGGAGATGAGCAGCAGCGGCAGCCATGGCTTGTTGACCTGCCTCAGGCAGAGACAGGCGGAGACACAGGCGGAGAGACAGGCGGAGAGACAGGCGGAGAGACAGCGCGGAGAGACAGCGCGGAGAGACGGGGGGACAGCCACCTTTGAGAATTCTCACAAACTACACGGGGGGATGAGCAGCAGCGGCAGCCATGGTTCGTTGACCTGCCTCAGGCATAGACAGGCGATAAAACAGCGCGGAGAGAAAGCGCACTTGGGCACGACATACGAATTTCTATCGCCCACAGAAGGACTCACACAGACACAAGGACCACGTAACCAAGACACAAAATATATATTTAATTGAGTAAATGAATAACCATGTTTACAGCTCACGGTTCCCGTGATCCTACCTGTCCACACAACAGGTTACTCGCACGCTACGCACCTTGGTAACCATTTCCGCGAGCAAGAGCATCTGATGCATCCAGCGAATATCTTTCGCCAGCATGTCGCTCGGCTTGTCGCACGGGACGCGTGCGACGATCGCGTCCACGTCACCCAGCCACGAGGGCGTTTCAGGCTGCGGAATTTCCGGGCAGGACGTCGGCAGCGATTGGTTGACCCATTCAGGATAGGCGTCCTTCCACTGGAGATGATCCGGTACGGCCGTTACAGGTACCGAAAGAAACTCGTACGGATGCGCGTGCGACCGCAAGCTGGTACTGTCATCCAAATTAAGAGACGCGATGCGACGCAGTCTTAATCCGTGTCGATGGTCCCAGGAACTAAGAATCGAGAGCGCGTGTCGCCCGTCGACAACCGCAGAGGACACGAACGGTCGGATGGAAAGGATATCTTGGAGGATCGAACGGCAGGTGGTGGTGCTGCATGCTTTGCATAAGACAAGCGCGACCAGTGCCGCCAGAAGAATCAGGAACAGCCGAGATTTGCGCTTCCCGTTATTACTAACACCATTACTCGTGCCGTCTAGTAACAAACGGAAGATAGAGGTAGCGAATTGTGGCCTGATATTAGGAGAGATCAAAGGAGACATTCTTATTCCTTTACAGGATGGAGGGCTAGTAGAATTAGTAGGTGTAGGTCTGGTTGCAGGGGATGTGATCGGGGTTCCATTGGCAGATCGGTACCCAGGAGGGGACTTCATCGATTGATTAAGCATATATCAGAAACAAATTGTAGATGTCGTAGTACCAGCAGGGGGTAGAGGTTTCTTGATCTAGCTTTCCTGCTGATAAGAGTGCGTGTCTTAGTTGTGGTAAGTGAGCGGCTAGTAAGGTGGAGCTTCTCGGGTCGCGCTGCTAGAGTTGAACTTGCAAGCTTGACGACGCACAAGAACAGAAAAAGTTCTTGAAACACTGATAACGAAATGTCAATAAATGGCTAGGCGCTGAACTCAGTGCGAAAGATCTTTAGGAGGCGGCACTCCCTGGGTTGCAATAAGCGAAGCGACCACAGGAAAGGCCTGACTTGTTGGTGTGGAAAGAAGCAGCAGCAGGCGAAAGCAAGCGAAACGAGCGTGTAACTTGCGAGCGCGCGGGCGAGGAAAAGGCGTCTCTACGGGAGGGGGAAGAGCGCGGAGGAACCCGAAGTGGCGGAAGCGCGGAGCGGCATCTAGTTGCTTGGACGGGAATGCAAGCATAGGACGTTGTGCAGATCGAGCGATCGATCGCATCAGATCGTTCGATCGGATCGGGTCGGATCAGATTGGAGGGGATCGGACTGAGGCAATCTGTCGATTGCGTCCCGAGCCGCGCGTTCAAACGATGAATTTCGAGGAAGTAAGTGAGAATTAGCCGCGCGGGCTCTAGGCTGTTCCCCCGTCCCTTCCAAGCAAAATGGGCGACACCTGGCGAAAAAACTGTGTCGTGCAATTACAGTGTAGCCCCCTTTTGGGTTCCCGAATATTCCATGCTGCAATATCGCGATAGCCGATGGTGCTGCGAGCAATGTCGAACTTCGTCAGAGGAAGTTACCGTTCGCAACCGTCGCCAGGCCCGGCGATCTGAGGCAATCTGTCGATTGCAATCGATCGCAAGAGATTGCGTCAGATCAGGGCGATCGATTGTGATCGATCGGATTGCCGATTGCAATCGACAGATTGCCCCCGATTGCATGCGATTGCCTAAAAATACCATTTCGGGTTCTTGGAAATGGTCGCTTGCCCCAATCTGACACAATCGCACTCAGATCGGGCCGATCTGCACCACGTCCTGACGTGATTAGGTGGTCAGAAACAAGTCCCTACAATTTTCATGGGGCGGAGTAGCTGATCTGGGTTTGTTGGTGTTTGGTTCGTCTGTAAACACCCCCGCTTGGAATTGCCATCTTGGCATTGCCCTCACACCCGCTCCCTTCCTTCTGTCTCGTCATCAGAGGGGATGGCTTTGCTCACACTTAACCTTGGTATTTGGGGATCTGCTCGCTAGAGATTGTCGTAACACTTGCCTTTACAGACAGGGGGTAATTCTTCAGAAACACATCACAACCTTCCGCGCCGCATACCCTCTCTTTTGCCAGATTGGCGACTGCCTGCCCGTGTCGAGTCGAGATTGTAGCACATGTGAGTGTGACTCAAGCGGGCAGGCGACTCCCGTTCCTTTGGCAACGAGAAGGCGCGAGAACAGTTCCCATGAACCAGCAGCACCTCAGCCGAACGCATCAGGATACAGAAACTGTTCACGTGTGGGATTGGCTGACACGTCCGCACGAGGCGCGGGGGTGCGAAACTGTACGCATCACCATCAAAGCTGCCTTGCGTCAGGTGCTGTACTGTACGGAACTTAGCAAATCGAGTTGCTTTCCGCTCTGACATGTGTCAACTTCTGGTCAAACTCTATATTGAGTTCTTCGACGTGAAATTTGAGAAACGCAATTAACTGTTAGCGAAATTTAATACACTCGTAGCTAAGTGTTTGGTGCATTCGCACCCTCTATATTATCCCACTCGCTAACGCAGCACGACCTTCTTGGGGGGGCAACGTGCACATGATGCGACACCGCGGCAGTGACGCAGTAATCTAGGCGGTTCGACTGATAGTCAATCTGTCCGTGGTCGATTCGACGGGCGCTTGTGCGTCCCCGAAGCTCGCCCCACATTTAGCCAATCAGCTTCGGGAATCATAAACCAGCTTCACGATTCGGCTCCTCGGATTGAACAGTACAGAGGTTCCATCAGCAGCACACCCCCCCGTCTTGCGGCCTGCACTCCTTGATTCATCCTCCCCTCCCCTCCCTCTCATCTCATCGCCTGCTGCTGCAATCAGCCATCTGTCGGCAACACAGAGATCACCCAGCCAGGCGCCACATCAACCTAGCTAGTGTCGCAACCCAGGTTCTTCCCCCAAGCCATCTCTCACCGACCTGTAGGTGATAAAGACAGTCGTTCGATGTCCACAGTAACAAATTTCAAGAGCTATCTGATTCTGATTTTGGCCGTCGACTGTCCTGTCAATCGACCAAGACCTCTAACCGTATGCGACACTGACACGCATAACGCAATGCGATGCTCCCCTGGCATATTCTCAACACGTCACCGCCAGCCTAAAAGCGTCCCTCGGACAACCTCTAGTTTCCGTACATCTCTAGCCTCCGCAACGCAGTCTCCATAGGTATAGGAGCACATCCGCCATGTCGACTTCACCCACCCAGGCCGCCTCCTCGCATGCTCTCCTGCCTTCCTCTGAACCTCCTTCTGACGCCGCTATAAGCATCCCCGACAGGCTGCAAACAACCAGCCCCGTTAAAAGATCAGCCAGTTCCCGGCAAGCAACGCTGGCGAAATCACCTTCACACAGCCCCAAGCGCTCGATCTCCGCTCCCGCCGCACACGCCGTCCCGCTCGGCGACATTCCCGGCGCCTCCTCCGTCGCATGGCTGCGCGACACGTGGCATGAGCACGCCAATCGCTCATTGGCGCTCGCTACGAAGCTCACCGGGTTTCAAGGCTGTCCATCTCCCGTCGGAACCCCTGGTTCCCTGACCAATGGCGCTGCATGTTCCTTTTCGTCGTCCTCTCTCTCATCTTCTCTCCCGTCTTTCAGTACAAGTATTTCCTTCACCAGCACTGCCGGTTATCTCTGTGGAAAAAAGCGGCTCGCGAGCTCCCGGGAAATCTGGGTCGTTCTCCTCTCCTTCCTCTCGCTGCTTCTCCTCGCCGACATGCTGCGAAAGAACCACGTGTTACTGTTACAATCCGCGACCGTGGGGATCGAGTTCCTCTTCGTGCTCTCGCGCGAAAGCGTGTACGCGCGTGGCTTGCGCGTGATCTCCACATGGGAGAGGGAATCCGGAGTGCGCTTCGCCAACGTGGCAGTGGTCAACTTGGAGGAGGCGGAAATGGCGCGTTTTAATGTGACGCGTCGATTAATCCCCTTGGCGGTTCCGCACGCGCCGGGCCATTTAGACTGGAATCACTTATATCCAGAGTGGATTAACGAGACGATACCAAACAGCTGTCCGTATCTGCCCGAGGCGCGCTGGCAGAGCGGGCGAAAGCAGGCGGACGCGCTATTGGCTCGCGTGGAATGTCGCGAACCGGTATCTGGATGGGCGAAAGACGTGGAGTGGCAGCACATGTTACTGTCGCTGGCGAACCTCGTCGTACAGGCAAGTCGTTTCGTGCAGTTGTCGGACTGCAGACATATGTATGGCGTTGACAATGCATGGCGAATCACGCGTTGGCAGTGATTGGCAATGCGTGACCGTTGGCAATATGATTGGCGAATCAACGGTCATGCATTGCCAATCACTGCCAACGCGCCTCCCTCCTCCCCCCCGCCTCCCGTCACACAAAATCCCCCTTGCCTCACTCCCCCCTCCCCCTACTCCCCTCCTTCCCCACCCGTCCCTTCCCCCCACCCACCCCCACCTCAGTCGACCTGGTTTCCCTTTTTATGCCCCCACCACCAATCCGAATCTGTCTTTCAGGCCGATAAGCCGTGGATGCCGCTCGTCCTCATTTCCGACTGCCGGCCACCGTTAAACCTCCTGCCGTGCGACCGGCTGGTTAAACGGGACGGGCCGGTCTGGCTGTACAACCTGACGGCCAGCGATCTCCGAACCCGGCTGCAGCCGGCAGGATCATGCGGCATGGCGCAACCGACATTGACCGCCGAAGGTGAATGAAACGCTCGGCTAGTAAGAGTAATAAAGTACCTGAAATGTGTTCTATCATATACCTGATGGATTGCTTACAGAGCTTGGGTGGTTGACGATACTGCATTCGGAAATACATCCCGCTCGCTCCACCTGCGTCCGTCCATTCCTTGCCGCTACCAGGTCCGCCTGCCGCGAGTACAGCAGCACACGCAATAGTGCTGTACGCGGTATAGTTGTACGGCATTGTGGGTCTCCACACTAAAGCGAGAACCGCACAGTGCTCGCTCGTTGCACACGGTAGAGCCTGCTCGAACCTATCTCACCTGCTCTTCTCTTCAACTTGTCACAGTTTTCTCGCCTTAGCTGCTTCTCCTCCTCCCCTGCATCCTTTTTCCCACCATCCCTCTTGCTTCCTACCCCCAGAACCGCCCGCTATAGGCACAGTAGCATACGCGACGGTTCTCCACACGGTGGAGAATTACGTGTGCGGCGCGATCGTGCTGGGGCACAGCATTCGGCGCAGCGGCAGCCAGCACGACATGGTGGCGCTGGTGTCGCGCGAAATCAGCAACCGCAGCCGCGACGCGCTTCGCGAGGCCGGGTGGATTGTCAAAGAAATAGACCGGATCAGAAACCCGTACGGCAGCAAGACGTCGTACAACCAATGGAACTACAGGTACAGTAAAACAATATTGTTGCATAAGAAAACAGTCTTTGTATTCCTTTACAACCTGAAAGGCAGCAGTCTCGCGATCCCTCCAAATTCAACAACCCTTGTCACAGCAAGTTCCGGCTGATAGTAACATCTGATAGGAGTACCAACATCTCTTGCTCCTCCCTTCCCCCTCGTCATGCCACCAGCAAGCTGCGGTTGTGGCAGTTGACGGAGTATGCAAGGGTGGTGTTGGTGGACGCGGATCTGCTGGTGCTGCCCCTCCCTTACCTCCCACCTTTCCCTTCACCCCATCGCCAGCAAGCTGCGGTTGTGGCAGTTGACGGAGTATGCAAGGGTGGTGTTGGTGGACGCGGATCTGCTGGTGCTGCCCCTCCCTTACCTCCCACCTTTCCCTTCACCCCATCGCCAGCAAGCTGCTGTTGTGGCAGTTGACGGAGTACACAAGGGTGGTATTCGTGGACGCGGATCTGCTGGTGCTGCGCAATCTCGATCATCTCTTCGCCTTCCCCGACGTGGCGGCGCGAGGCAACGACCAGACGGACTTCAACTCGGGCCTCATGCTGCTGCGCCCCTCCCACTGCACCTTCCGCGAGCTCCTCGCCAACGTCCACACCATCCGCTCGCCCAATGGGGGTGACCAGGTGCGAACATGCACGCTTGGGAGGGCGTGGGTTGGGTGCGGTTTGGAATGGTTGGGGATGGGTTTCTTGATGCCCCTCCAATTGCACCTTCCGCGAGCTTCTCGCCGACGTCCACACCATCCGCTCGCCCAACGGCGGCGACCAGGTGCGAACATGGTCCTTGGGGAGGGATTATTGATGGCTGTGGGGACGGTTGGGTTCGGTTGGGGACGGTTGGGGATGGTTGGGAATGTCTGTTGATGGCTGGTTCCCTTCTTCTGGCCAAATTCCTGTGGCACCACTTGCTCAAGCGCTCTCACTTTCATCCATCTCCACCCCTCTCAACCCCTCTCAGGGCTATCTGAACAACATCTTCACGTGGTGGCACCGCCTGGAAATGAGAAACCGGTGGTTCTCAGAGGAGCTGGCTTGCTCACACCACTCATTCCATCCTCGATTCATGCCCCGCCCCTCTCCCATCCTCTCAGGGCTATCTGAACAACATCTTCACGTGTTGGCACCGTCTGCCCAACTCGTACAACACCCTGAAGCTCATCTGCTCGTCCTTTCACACCCTTGTCTACTCCTTCCCCAACCCTTCCCCACCCCTCTCAACCCCCCAGGGCTACCTCAACAACATTTTCACGTGGTGGCACCGTCTGCCCAACTCGTACAACACCCTCAAGCACATCTGGGCCTCAGATCCCAAGGAGCGAGCTCTCGAGCTAGAAATGAAGAACCGGTGGTTCTCAGAGGAGCCAGCAGAGATCCACACCATCCACTACCTCGGCCGCAAGCCCTGGCAGTGCTACCGCGACTTTGACTGCACGTGGCTGTACCCGTGGGACCACAATTTCGCAAACGAAGCAGCTCATAAGCGGTGGTGGGCCATGCATGATAGCATGCCTGAGCCCCTGCAGCAGATGTGCTGGCTGAGGAATGAGGATAAGACGGAGATGGAGTTCAGAAAGAGGGGCCTTGAGGCGAAGAACGCCCCGCCGGCATTTTGGAATTTCACTGTGACGGATCCGAGGAAGGATTATTGTTTCCCCGGGCAGAAAACGTGCCAGTGGGAGCTGTATTTGGAGCACTGGAAGCGGCGGTAGGGGGCAAGCAGTAGGGCCACGGTAAGACTTCAGGGGAAGGTGGCGTGGTTCATTGGATCGTGCATGACACGATGCCGGAGGGCCTGCAGCAGATGTGCTGATCTTTGATTCAGGAGGCGATCCAACCACTGTGAGAGGCTAGATTCTTGGGGGGTGGGAGATAATTACCGGATTAGGAGGCGGATTGTGTGCCCCTGTGCTCTCTGCCTGCTTGCATGAAGTGCACAAGCCGTGGCAGTGGGAGATGGGCTTGGGCCGATGGAAGGAAGCAGTGGTGAGGGCAGCTACCGTAGGAGCAACTGGGCGAGAAGTGGAAATATATTTCTGATCAGGGATTTGAGGAGCTGAGAAGACGTGCTGCTGTGGGCAGAGCTGTGCAAGATTGGTGACGAGGCTCCACTCAGGCCACCTAGATTAGAGAGGCGATATGTTTACTAGGTGCAGAGAGGCAACTACGGAGTGTGCCTTTTGGTAAAGGATGTGACTGGGACTTAGGGTTGCACGAGTACAAGGATCCGTAGCATGTGCTAAGCTCCTCTGATTGTGTCACAAATGGAAGAAACAGTAATATGTGTTGAGAATCTAGGCCAAGAATGATGAAACTAGCAAGAGTTGGGATACATAAGGAAACCCTAGAAAGTGTTGTACCCCATGTAAGCTACCCTACTACAGCCTACAACCAACAAACATATAATTTGACACACCCCCATAGGCAAAGTGGGGGAGAACAAGTGGTCACAAGACCAGTCAAAACGAGCAATGCAAGCTCAGGATGGATCACGAAGTCACCACACATGCATAAGTAAGGGGCCACATGGCCAGTTCACATGCATAGTTATATAAGAGAGAGCAAACAGTACAGTGATCACTACCTAGCAAGTGTAAGCATGCAGGTATATATAAATGTCATAGTACAGGCAACGTCATGTTGGATGCACGTCATTTTGAGTGCATGTCATCCTAACGTCCTGCCGAGTGCTCGTGCTATTCATGCGTGCATTGTTTGCATGAGCATGTACCTATTATTATGCGTGCTTGTTCTCCACCACTTTGCCTATGGGGGTGTGTCAAACTATATGCATGCTATATTTGTGTAGGCTGTAGTGGGGTAGCCAATATGGGGTACAACCCCTTCAGGGTTAGATACTTCTACCCAACTCTCATTCAATGCATCCATGCCTGCTTCTAGATTCTAACATGGTTTCAGAGCAGTAGGTCCGTAGGACCATTTTTTTTTTTTTTTTTCGGGCCCACCCTTCGCTAGTGACCGTCTGCGGTTACCGTGCTGCCCCACGCCCTGTTCTGCGTCGCGCCGCCCGCGCGCGCCCTGCCCTGCCTTGCCTTGCCGTGAGCGGCCCTAGAGCCCGTGCACGGCCCCTGCCCTTGCCGTGCGCCGCCCCAGAGTCCGCGCACCGCCCCTGCCTGCCCGTCGCGCCGCCCCAGAGCCTGCGCGCGGCCCCTGCCCTTGCCGTGCGCCGCCCCAGAGCCCGCGCGCCCCTCCTGCCTGCCCGTCGCGCCCCCCTAGAGCCCGCGCGCTGCCCCTGCCTGCCCGTCGCGCCGCCCCAGAGCCTGCGCGCGGCCCCTGCCCTTGCCGTGCGCCGCCCCAAAGCCCGCGCACGGCCCCTGCCCTTGCCGTGCGCCGCCCCAGAGCCCGCGCGCCGCCCCTGCCTGCCCGTCGCGCCGCCCCAGAGCCTGCGCGCGGCCCCTGCCCTTGCCGTGCGCCGCCCCAGAGTCCGCGCGCCCCTCCTGTCAGCCCGTCGCGCTGCCCTAGAGCCCGCGCGCTGCCCCTGCCTGCCCGTCGCGCCGCCCCAGGGCCTGCACGCGGCCCCTGCCCTTGCCGTGCGCCGCCCCAGAGCCCGCGCGCCGCCCCTGCCTGCCCGCCAGGTCGCTGTTGCGGCCCCGCCCTACAGCAGCCGGCGTGGCTCCGCCACGCCGCCGACGCGGCCCCGCCAGGTCGCGGTCGCGGCCCCGCCCTGCCGCCGACGCGGCCCCGCGTGGACCCGCCCTGCCGCCGACACGGCCCCGCCCTGCAGCAGCTGCCGTGGCCCTGCCCTGCCGCTGTCGTGGCCCCAGCCCTGCAGCTGACGCGGCCCTACTCTGCAGCCGCTTTTGCGGCCCCGCCGTCGCCGCCGTCGTGCGCCTACCCTGCCGCTGCCAGCCGAGCGCCGGCCCTGCTCGCTCGGCGAGCGCCTGCCCTTCCCGCCACTGGTGAGCACCTGCCCTACCGCGCTTCCCGCGCGCCTGCCTTGTTAGCGCGCTGCCGCGCCATCTGCCTGCCTGCCTGCCTGCCTGTCTGCCTGCCTGCCTGCCTGCCTGCATGCCTGCCTGCCGGTCTACATGCCTGCCTGCCGTGCTTACCGCTGCTAGGCTGCTGCTGCTGCTACTGCTGCTACTACTGCTACTGCTGCTACTGGCGGTGGCCAGATGCAGCTCCAGCGACGTCCGCGCGAGTCTCTCACGCCCCAGCAGCTTAGTGAGTGGTACGCTAGTTGGGGTTGTGGCGGTAGCCGTCGTGGCTGTCGCCTTGGAGCTGGTCAGTCGGGAGCGTCTGGCAGTGGCCAGCTGCAGCTGCAGCGGCGTCCGCGTGAGACACTTACGCCCCAGCAGCTTCATGAGTGGTACGCTCAGAGTAGAGGGTCTCGGAGTACCGTTCGCTGCCCGTACGTCATTCGCACAGGTGCTCGGACTGGTCAGGCTTGCGGGACAATTGGTCACACACAATCCCGCTGCTTCGCCCGTCTGAGCGACGCCTGGCGTACCGAGTTTGGCGACGCGGCTGAGCTCCCCACCTGGCTAGAGCTGCTTAGGCAGAGGGTAGATATCTTTGCTCTTGACTATGATGCTATTCTCACTGCCATGTATGCGTTGCCTACTAGTGCTGACGGTGCCTGTTACCTGTGCGTACCGCCTGACCCAGGTATAGAGCCTGCTGCTCTAGGTGCTGGTGAGGCTGCTGCTCACGGTGCTAGTGCGTCTCCTGCTCTAGGTGCTGGTGAGGCTGCTGCTCCAGGTGCTGGTGAGTCTGCTCTCTCTGGTACTGCGTCTCCTGCTCTAGGTGCTGGTGAGGCTGCTGCTCTAGGTGCTAATGAGTCTGCTCTCTCTGGTACTGCGCCTGCTGAGGCCTTGTACACCTTCACGCTTGACTCAGGTGCTTCCCGCTCCTTCTTTCGCGACAGCACCACCCTCACGCCGCTCAGTCGGCCGGTTGCAGTCTCCCTGGCAGACCCCTCTGGGGGTCCAGTCCTTGCGCACTCCTCCACGGTCCTGCCGTGTCCGGCGGTCCCGTCTGGCTCCCTGTCAGGTCTTCACCTCCCCTCGTTCTCTACGAACTTGGTGAGTGGTGCTGACCTCCAGGACCAGTGGGTTGACCAGTTCACTCCTGGAGGTCAGCGCGTGACCCACTGTACGTGCTCCCGGACGGGCCGGCACCTGGCCACGTTTACCCGTGCGCCTGGCTCGAGTCTGTACACACTGACCACTGTGTCCCCTCAGGTCGTTGCGTCTGCGTCAACGTCTGTGTCAGGTCAGCTGGCGGCCCTCTTCTCGTGTCGCGCTTTGTCGCACCAGACCCTCCTTTGGCACCACCGTCTTGGTCACCCCTCGGTGCAGCGCCTTCGTAGCATGCACCGCCAGGTCCTAGTCTCTGGTCTTCCCAGGGTTCTCCCTCCCCTCCCACCCTCGCCTGCTCCTCCCTGTCTTCCCTGTGTCGAGGGGCGGCAGCGCGCCGCTCCTCACTCCTCCTCGTTTCCCTCGACGACTGCTCCCCTGCAGACCCTGCACATGGACGTGTGGGGCCCAGCCCGCGTCACTGGACAGGGCCGCGAGCGGTACTTTCTGCTGGTTGTCGACGACTACTCGCGTTACACCACGGTCTTCCCCTTGCGCACCAAGGGTGAGGTCCCTGATGTTTTGATCCCTTGGATCCGCGCTGCCCGTCTCCAGCTCCGCGAGCGGTTTGGGACGCATCCTGCGTCTGCACTCTGACAGAGGTGGGGAGTTTTCCTCCGACCTTCTGCAGAGCTTTTGTCTTGGGGAGGGCATTCGCCAGATGTTCACGCTTTTGGCCTCTCTGCAGCAGAATGGGGTTGCTGAGCGCCGCATTGGCTTGGTCATGGAGGTCGCTCGTACCTCCATGGTCCATGCGGCTGCCCCCCATTTTCTATGGCCGTTTGCGGTCCGCTACGCCGCCCATCAGCTCAACCTTTGGCCCCGTGTCTCCTTGCCGGAGACCTCGCCCACACTGCTGTGGATGGGGGAGGTTGGCGATGCGTCGGTGTTCCGGGTCTGGGGTTCTCGTGCCTTTGTCCGCGATACCACCGCGGACAAGCTCTCCGCCCGCGCTGTTCCCTGTGTCTTCCTTGGCTTTGTCCCTGACGCGCCTGGTTGGCAGTTTTACCACCCCACCTCGCGCCGTGTCTTCCCCTCTCAGGACGTCACGTTCGACGAGTCGGTTCCCTTTTACCGTCTCTTCCCCTACCGCACTGCCCCTCTCCCCCCCCCCGCCGCTCTTCCTCGCTCCAGGTGCTCCCCGGGTAGATCCCCTCCCCGCTCCCGGTCCTGCTCCTTCAGGTGTGTCTCAGGTAGACCCTCCTCCCTTGACTGCGCCGGTTGAGGTCACTGGTGACTCAGGTCCTGCTGAGGGTGGTCCTGCTCGGGGTGCTGCTTCTGGGGGTGCTGAGCCTGGGGGTGCGGAGCCTGGGGGTGCTGAGCCTGGGGGTACGGAGTCTGGGGGTGCTGAGCCTGGGGGTGCTGCGTCTGGGGGTGCGGAGCCTGAGGGTGCAGAGCCTGAGCGTGAGAAGCCTGGGAGTAATGATTCTGGGGGTGCGGTGCCTGAGGGTACTGAGACTGCCGGTGAGCGGTCTCCTTGGAGTGGCCGCCTTCGTCCGCGTGTGCCTCTCACCTCACAGCAGCTGCACGACTGGTACGGTCGCCGTCAGGTTCGCGCTGCTGGAGCTCGGGGCTCTGCCGCTGGAGGTGCTTCTGCTGACGCCACTGGAGCT